ATTTGTACTGAGATTGTAGTCCATCACGGGTGTGAGCTTGGAGCGGTGGCTACTTTACAACACACACTGGGACCATGGGGAACAAAAGTAGCCACCCTCCAGAAGGAAGGACAGTGCCGGCAATTCAGAGATGATTTGAGAATCTACAGCCGAGTGATACACAAATAAGAGACATTTTTTGTTAATAGTTCAGGAACTTGAATGTATTTTTGAGGTTTACCTCCTGAGTTTCCGCTGATTCACATTTATTGAATATACTAGATATTTTGAATCTACATGTTAAAGATTTCCAGGGAAAATATTTATTTTTGTACCCAGCACAAGGCAAATACTTTCCCTCTAATGACAAATATTCTAGTTGCGGATCTCTGCAGTTTGCTGTAACAATCAAAGCTTCATTGACACCGGAAACTACAGGCGGCGCCCTACTTCTGGTGAGCTATGTCTCTCATACAGGGAAAGATCCTGTCCATCCTCCCTTTCTTCTCCTGCTGCCCATTCACAAAACATCTATTCTGTTCATAAAATACAAGGTGCTCTGTGAAAGGACAAGGGGAGATCCTGCCATTCACCCATTCCTCCCCTCTCCCATTCACAGAAAACCTTGTGTTATGTGAACAGAAGACATTTTGTGAATGGACAGCGGGAGAAGAAATGGAGAGTGAATGACAGGATCCTTCACTATAGGAGAGCCAGAGCTCCCAGCCGCAGTACCAGAAGAGGAGCGCTGCCTGTAGCTTTTGGCATCAATGAAGCTGATTTTAACAGTAAACGGCAGAGACCCAGACTTAAGGTGCCCATACACCTTGCGATTATCGTACAATAAGGTACCTCTGCTACTGTAAGGTCGCACGACTTTCGTCACTTTTGTCTTAAGAGCATGTTCGAAAACCCGCCGAGAATCGTACGATTGTCGGCGGGTACGTGGCGTGCTCGTAAGACAAATACCGAACGGGCTGGTGTGCGCAAGCGCACACTGCCCGTTCAGCACTGCAGTAGAGCTGCAGCTAACGATTATTTTCAAAATCGATTAGTTAGCCGATTATTAAGTTCGATTAATCGGTTAATCGGATAAAAAATACATTTTAAAAAATGGCTCCAGTGATGGGACTTCTAGTTTGTATTGAGATTGCAGCAAGCTTGGAGCGGTGGAAGTAAAAAAGTGTGTGGAGCCGTGAACAGGGCCAACCAATCAGAAGCCGATTAATCGATTATTGAAAAAGTTGACAACTTTTTCAATAATCGATTATAATCGATTATGTCGATTAGTTGTTGCAGCCCTACACTGCAGTAATCGGAAGCCTGCCCCTCAGGGGGGTGGGCTTGCGATGATCGCAAGTACGATCTGCCTGTCCAAGATGGGCAGATCGTACGTTTTTTGAATTACCTTACAACCATCGCAAGACAAAAGTCTTGCGATGGTTGTAAGTAGGAATGTCCCGATACCGATGCTAGCATCGGTATCGGGTCCGATACAGGGCATTTTGACAAGTACTTGTACTTGTCAAAATGCCCCGATACATAGCGCCGAAGCTTACGCTATGATATTTTTTTTTTTTTAACTTACTTGGAGAGCAACGGCGAGATCATTACATTCCCACACTGCGCCTGCGTCCCTTTCTCACGGCCGTTAACTTCTCCAACTACACACAGCTCCTGTCCAGTTCAACTACCATGCACTGCGCTTGGGTGCCCTTCTCGTCGAGTTTGCGAATTATAAACTGCACTTGCGCTGTCCATTTCAACTACTAAAATAAATACATAAATAAACTAAAAAAAAAAAAAAAAAACAATTCCTGGAGTTCTTTAATGAATATACTAGATCTTTTGTGTTCACACCAGACACTGAGCTAATCGCACAGCACATTGTGTTTTTGCTTTGTAAAACTTTACTATAATCTCACAAGAGGCATTTTATTCAGTTCTACAGGCACAGCGGGGTGCAAGGCGGTTGTCCCGAGTCACATCCCGTTGTGATGAAAAAATATACAGCATGTCGTACTTCTTTCAGCGCACACCACTGTGTTCCCATTGCAACATGGTGGCGTGAACCGATCCCGTCCATGATAATTGCCTTGTCTTTCGTCGGGGATGCGTTGGCCGTTGTTTCCAATGCATGCGGTGTGAATCGACCCGTAAAGATCGAAACCTAAAGTGCATCTCTAGGGAAAACTTATGTTTAGTTTTGGATGTTATTGACCTCCATCAAGCTTTTATTCCTGCCCGTGTCCCAACTGAGGAGACTTACCCTTCTGTTTTCTACTGGTGACCAATCACCAAGAATGAAAGTGAGGAAAACTCCAAAATGTTAGACCTGTTCCCAGAACAAGAGGTGAGAAGAATTCCAATAGAGGAGAACATCCCCCCCACACCAACTTTGGAAAATTTCCTTTAACTTCCTAACCTGCGTCTCTGCAACAGGAAGTGAAGGGAATATCCCCAGATGGTACACAGACGGCACAAAAAAAATAACATGGCTGGAGTTTTATTCCATCCCTAATCTATCCCATAAAGTTTTAGCTATAGATGCAATTGAATTGCACAACCAACAAACACGTGTTGTCAACTTATAACAGTGGCAATGCAGTTAAATGAAACAGAAAATGTGTGCATACCACCAATGAAAGCCAAGCATCCCAAATATGAAGGGGGATTCTGAAAGAATAAAATGCTGCACGTATGTAACCAGCATAGAACATCTTCCCCTGCAGTACGCCTGACTCTTCTCAATATCCGGCGCGGCTAGAAAGGGCTGGGGATCCACGGACAGAACTTCTCTGCAAAAAAAGCATTTTTGGAACATTCATTCAATGTTCTAATCGTTAACGGGGTCAGTGTGAAGTTCAATTTGGACCGCAGGGAGGAAACAAAATCAAAGACGCAGAAGAGAAACTTTTTCCCAAATGAACGAAATTCTGACAGTGAATGTGGGCTTCATTGGAGAAATTCCATTCATTCCAAAATCCAATGCTAAAATCAAATGCAATTTGCAACTACTTTCCACAAGTCTCTGATGGCGTCATCGAATGTTCCATAGATTTCTCATATGAAAGTTTGTACAAAAATCTACCTGCCGAGCCTCATTCAATGTTTCCAGTAAGATCTCTACTCAAACACTCCATTCATTCATTCCCACTGCCTGTAAAGGGAGGCCAAGGTGTACAGGTCTATGACAGCTATCAGAGGGATCCAGGGGCGTCCCAAGGCTGGGTGGCACCCGGAGTGGATACCGAGTGTCACCCCGCCGACTCGCCATCGTGCATGCGCGTGACGTCACCATGCACGCGGCACTCTTCTGTTATATGACGGCGGCCATCTTGGTGATGGACGCCGGCAGAGAGAGTAGGGGACAGTCACCCGGCGGGATAAGGTATGCCGCCGGGTCCCCACCTCTCTCTCCTGATACTGTCAGGGGTACGGTCGATGACCGAGCGCCTGACTTTTCAGAGGAGGGTGACATCAAAATGACTGTCAGTCATTTTGGTGTCACCCGGGTGCGGGCCGCACCCCCCTTGTGATGCCACTGGAGGGATCTATAAACACTGCTGGTGGAACTACTAATCCCATAAGGCATTGCAAGACTGGCAACCACAGGCATGAACCCCGGAGGCAGAAGCATGATGGGATTTGGAGTTTCACCACAGCTGGAAGGAAGGCGTTTGCCTACCCTAGCTATAAAGCATCCAAGGCATTAGGGACATTAAAAAATGTCGTAGGCAGAACTATCAAAGTCTGTGTTCTCAGAATAACCAAACAGATCCAAAGCGTCGCCGGAAAGTCATCTTTTTGGTGAAAAAAAGTTTGCATTCGATTGGTTGAAGACAATCGTGAATAAGGCCCATTGTGTAGATCTGCTGCACTACTCTTTGCACTTACTTCAATCGCCTCGTCTCCCAGCACGTTCCTGAAACTGACACATTTCTCCACCCGTCTGCCTAAAACTTCCCAGTACACGTGTGTCATGTGAAGACACCAGCTCCCTCTTGGCATATGTGCTCAGGGTGCCCACAAACCTGAGGCCAGCCAAGCATGCTGGAAACACAGCGGTATATAAACACAGCATGATGTCTGTTTATTCCTAAAAAGAGGGGACAGGTCAGAAGACATTTCTGATCGCGGTTTCATCAACATTCACACCGTAAGCAGACGGCCGACAGCTGCCATCCTGACGCCACAGACGGTAGATCCGCATGGGGTGTCTCCCCTTTATAAGAATGGCCTCATATTCCTGGAGAACCGAATGGGGTGTCCCCCTTTATATGAATGGCCCCATATTCCAGGAGATCCGAATGGAACATATCCCCTTTATAAGAATGGCCTCATATTCCAGGAGATCCGAATGGAACATATGCCCTTTATATGAATGGCCTCATATTCCATGAGATCTGATTGGGGTGTCTCCCCATTTTATGAATGGCCTCATATTCCAGGAGATCTGAATGGGGTATCTCACCTTGTTATGAATGGCCTCATATTCCAGGAGATCTGAATGGGGTATCTCACCTTGTTATGAATGGCCTCATATTCCAGGAGATCTGAATGTGGTATGTCACCTTTTTATGAATGGCCTCATATTCCAGGAGATCTGAATGGGGTATGTCACCTTTTTATGAATGGCTCATATTCCAGGAATCTAAGGGAAATCCCACACAGCTATGACCCGTTATATTACCTGCCTTTCCCTTTTAGATTGTAAGCTCTCAGGATCAGGACCCCCCCTAGTCTTGTATTGTACATGCACTGTCTGTAAGTGCTGCACGATATAAATCCTGTATAATAACAGATCCGGGCACCTGGAATATTCCTATATCAGCTGATCATATACATTGCACTGTACCCCCGGTGATGCCAGGTGCTCGGTTTTATTAGATCTGCAATAGGCAGCCCTGAGAGTGAGGAGCTACAAATCCCAGCATGCCTAGCTGTCAGAGGCTGCCATGGCATGTTGGGTATTGCAGTGCCACTATTGGGGGGCACATACCTATGGAAGGTGCTCTTACCTTCAGATAACTCCAGCTCCAGCTCCGCCAGGCTCTCCCGGATCTCCACCGGCAATGTCTCCAGAATGGCACATCCCCCTCTCTCCGCCATCCTGATGCTTGTGTCATGCGACTTAACAGCAGTGCTCTCCCTGCTCTCCACCCTGAGCTGCTCTGGCCTCTCCCCCCCCCTCCACACTTCTTCCTCCGTTCCCAAGTCCACAGGACCGGCCTGGCGCGGGCACGCGCTTGGGAGCGGCCCGTGAGCGCGCGGTGAAGTGAGGTGGGAGGGGGGGTGTGTGAATGTTATGGTAGCTGGGAATCTGCCTAGTAACAGTACACAGCGCAGTGTCCTCTCATCACCGGCACTCATTGAGCATCAAGACAGGCAGGACACGCCGCCGAAGCGCGTGCTCGTGCACAACCCGGCATAGCTGGTTGGCCACGCCTCCGCCGGCTCATTGGTTACAACGTAAGTCGCCGAATTGTGATTGGACAGCCGAAGCCGCACCTTCACACGTGCTGGGCATTTCACGATACTCTTATGAATGGGCACCCGGTGCCACTCTAGGAGGTGCACGAGCCCACTGAGTGCCTGTGTGTTGGTGAATTGGAATGTGATTCCTGCAATGTCTGGGGACAATTTAGTGTTGACATTCACACCAATGCAGGTTTATGGATCTGTTCACCTCCTAAGCTATATGATTGATGACAGCCAATAATAGCTTTTCATTAAAAAAAAAACTACATTTGGTGAACTTCTGCAGGTGGTTCCCCGGGACTGCTTAAGAACTGCAAAACAAGTCTAAGACCCCATTCACACCTAGCGACATACCTTTTGCAGCGGATCCGCACGGCCGGGATGGGGCGACGTTCCAGCGACGGTAGCGCGACCTTCCCCGTCGGGCTCCATAGAAAAAAAGCAAAATCGAGCAAAATCCGCCGAAAAAAGGGTCCGGTAGAAGCGACTTGCGACCGCGACGAGCGACGCGCGACATGGAGTTAAGACAGCTCCATTGAATAACATTGGCCTGCGACTTCTTGCGATATCGCGCGGCAAAAATGCGCGATATCGCGGCGGAAATCGCGCGACAATTCGCTATATGTGAACGGGGTCTTAAGGCACAGGGTGTGAGGGAATGGGGAAAAGAAGGTAGGTGTTGAATGGGGCAAAGTGACAGCAAAAGGTAGGTGCTGAATGGGGCAAAGTGACAGCAAAAGGTAGGTGCTGAATGGGGCAAAGTGACAGAACGTAGGTCCTGAATGGGGCAAAGTGACAGCAAAAGGTAGGTGCTGAATGGGGCAAAGTGACAGAACGTAGGTCCTGAATGGGGCAAAGTGACAGAACGTAGGTCCTGAATGGGACAAAGTGACAGAACGTAGGTCCTGAATGGGGCAAAGTGACAGAACGTAGGTCCTGAATGGGACTGAGAGCATTCATTTAGCTACTCACTGGGGCAGTCGCAGAACGTAGGCGCTGAATGTGGCAAAGTGACAGTATTTGGGCACTGAATGGGACAGAGTGCAGCAATTTTGCAACTGACTGGGGCAAAGTGGCAGGACTTAGGAACTGAATGTGGCAAAGTAACAGAACTTAGGTACTGAATGTGGCAAAGTAACAGAACTTGGGTACTGAATGAGGCAAAGTAACAGAACATGGGCACTGAATGAGGCAAAGTGGCAGAACTTAGGCACAGAATGGGGCAAAGTGGCAGAACTTAGGCACAGAATGGGGCAAAGTGGCAGAACTTAGGCACTGAATGGGGCAAAGTGGCAGAACTTAGGCACTGAATGGGGCAAAGTAACTGAACTTGGGCACTGAATGTGGCAAAGTAAAAGAACTTGGGCACTGAATGAGGCAAAGTGGCAGAACTTAGGCACAGAATGGGGCAAAGTGGCAGAACTTAGGCACAGAATGGGGAAAAGTGGCAGAACTTAGGCACAGAATGGGGCAAAGTGGCAGAACTTAGGCACTGAATGGGGCAAAGTGGCAGAACGTAGGCACTGAATGGGGCAAAGTGACAGAACCTGGGCACTGACTGGGACAAAGTGGCACTACTTAGGTGCTAGTTAGGTGCTGAATGAAGCAAAGCAGGGTAAAGTGACACAACTTAGCCCCCATTCACACCTGAACGTTTTGTTGCACATTTCCTGAATGCTCAACATGAAGAATCCCATTATTGTCAATGCTCACACTTGAGCGTTGGGTTGTTTGTAGCTCAGAAAAGTACACCAGCATCCCGTATGTCAGATATGGAGGGATGTATATCATATAAGTATCAGCTTCTTATGTTGGTGTACATGTGACTGGTTTTTGCATTCACAAATTTCACCCTTGTGCAAAACTCAATAAAATAGTTTTTTTTGGCCCAATAGACATTTTGTCAGATTTCATGCCTAACAACCATCTTTTTCCTTCTAGTAGATACATTTTTATTGGCTTGAAAAAAACAAAACAAACGCTCAAGCCTGCAAAATATGCAAAAAACAAACCTGCTTTAACACTGGCTGAAAACACTCATGCCCAAGTGTGAATGGGGGTTTAGGCGCTGATAAGGCAAAAAAGGGGACCGAGTGCGGGTCATTTCAGAGTATAACTGGAACTCAAGAGGGTATCGGGGATGTATCTGAACTTTTCCTATGCTCATTATGTTCAGCTTATTGTATCCTGAAGATTGTTATACTGCAAACCTATAGAAGATAAGGATGTCTGTATCTATAATGTGAATGCTTTGCTATCATTACTTACCGAGGGGCAATGGCAACAAAAACCCTAGAAAGAAACAAGGACAACTCTGCCATCTTGTGTCACATGTGGTAATTGCGGATCATAATCTGAAGTGTTGCAGATAATACCTCTAGTGAATGCAGTAAAAATGGGAACTGTATACAGGACAAAAGT